CAATGTCTAAGACAAGTGAAGGTTGTCCCTCAGCGAGTGGGATAAGAAAGTTACAATTATTTTCTACAACATCTGCATCACCGAGATTGAGATCAGGAATAGGTCAACCACCTATTTCAACAAGGAATGTTGGCAGAACATAGCTAAAAGGTTTAAAGAATTGACTGGAAGATATTATGACATATTGAAGTTTAAAAATAAATGGGATCAATTGAAGAAGTAGTGGAAAATTTGTAAGGAGCTGAAACGTGGATCCACGGGGTTGGGCTGGGATCCAATCAAACGGACAATTGATGCTCCAGATGAATTGTGGGCCTAGAAATTAGAGGTAAAATTGTCATTATTTTTTTGTTACTTACAAATATTTTCATTTTAAACAATTATCCCCCTAAACCCCCCTCCTCATTGTAATGTTATAGACAATGCCGACAGCAAAAAAATACAAACAGAGCGGAATTGACCCGGATCTTGAAGATAAACTTGACATAATGTTCAATAGGATTGTGGCAACAGGAAATCTTGCATCTAACTCTTGTGAGACGGGGTTTACAGGAATACCCGATGATTTTCCACCATAGTCGGTGGCAGTTGAGGAAGAAATACACAGCGTTAACCAGAGGGAGATGGGGGAATCAAGCTCACAGATGAAGAGGCCCAGGCTAGGAAGAAGAAAGAAAGAAAGAAAATGATATTTTTGTGAAAACTTCATTTGATAGACTCATAGATGCTTTTGGACCACCACTGCCTGCTCCAACACCTGACAGCACTATCTTCGATTGTCTTTGCACTATGAAAACCATCCCTGAAATTGTAGTGGATAAGCACTTTCATGCAATATGTATGAAAAAATTTGAGGATCCAACACGTAGGCACATATTTATGGCGATGAAACCAGAGTTGCGAGTCGAATATTTACGTGTTATTGTAAATGATTGAGTTCTTATATGTTTTCAAGAATTATATTATCTACTTTTCAAAGTTATGAACTTATCTGTTATTTGGAGTTGTGTTTCTTTTTTAAAATGTACTTTTAATTGATTCCATGAATGCATATTAGTAGAGATCTAATTTTTTTATTCTTACTAGCTGAGTGTTCTCATTATTTATTTCTCGCTCGTTGTATTGATTAATAATTGATGAAATAATCGAGATCTTTCTTTCTTTAGTATGGATCCACAACATGAACGTCGTAAGAGAGTAGCATGGGCTGCAGCTATTGTCATATTACTGTTGGAGTATTAATGATCAAGCAGTGTTGGCTATAACGTTATATATTCTGTCACAGAATGAATCAATTAGGAGTGTTATGGAGAGATTTCAGCATTCATCGGAGACAATAAGTCGTTATTTTTCCAAAGGCATACGGGCACTTATTAGCTTATCATCTAAAATCATCATGTCAGATGATTCATCATTCGCTAATACTCCAGGATAAATCGCAGTCGATCTCAGTTACATGTCTTATTTTAAGGTAATCATTCTTTTATTTACTTTCATAACAACATAAAAATATTTTCTAACCCTGTTAAACAAAACTGCATATGTGCAATTGACGGTACTCACGTTAATGCTCGAATACCCAGTCAGGACAATGTGGCTTACATTGGTCGAAGTGGTTCGACTACTGAAAATGTCATGGCGATATGTGACTTCAACATGTATTTCACATATGTTATGGTAGGCTGAGAAGGGAGTGCACATTATAGTCGAATTTTCGTCTATGCTACGAGGAATAGATTGCAAGGTTTTCCTCATCCGCCTTGAGGTATGTTTTGAAGTTTAAAATTCCAAGTTATAGGTATTTATTGCAAATAACAATAACTTCCATAACAGGAAAATATTATTTGGTTGATGTTGGATACCCTATGTGGAGGGGCTATCTGAAGCCATATCCAGACAATAGGTACTACATTTCTGATTTTGAGCGAGCAAGTGGCATTATTTGTGGTAGGAAAGAAATGTTTAACAAACGTCACTCCTCTTTACGTGGGGTAATTGAAAGAATGTTTGGGGTGTGGAAGAAGAAATGGGTCATCCGGGTCATCCTATGTGATATTATGTGATATGACGTCATATCTATTTCAGAAACAAGTGTATATTGTGGTGGCAACAATGACACTTCATAACTTCATACGACGACACCCTTCACATTCAGATACGGACTTTAGTATGGCTAATAACGAAGAGCTAACAGTCTATGAAGAACCATCAGAAATTATGATCGAGCCTCCAATTCCTAAGGATGAGAATGAATTTAATGAATTTGTAGTTCATAACGCGGATGGTATGGCTGAGATGACTGCTCTGAGGGAGTCTATAGCAGATGTTATATATGACAGCTAATCCAGCAAGTCTTTTTTTTCTTAGTATATATGTAGATTAATTTTTATGTGTAATTTATTTTTTCTGGATAAGTACTGACATTCATTTTTTTTGTTTTTTTGCAGTTATACAAACATGACTTCTAAGATGTCAGTTACAGAAAGACGTATTTTGTGTTATTGTGGACTACCGTCTATGTTGCTCACGTCGCTTCAGTCTCATAGCTTTGGGAGGCAGTTCTACGGTTGTGCAAAAAGTGTTTCAGCTCGTTGCGGCTTCTTCCGGTGGGTTGACAGTCTCAGATATTACACTATCAGCGGTCATGGGAAACTGATGTTTTCTCAGGTTGATACTAAAGCTAAGGACAGGCGTAGACAGAGTTTAAAATTAAATATTTTAATATTTCTCATTGTGGTTGTACTTGCTTTTATCTTTTTTTTTTATTTTTTCTGGTACTCACAAGAGTGTGAGGACTGTATATCATCTTTTGAAACTGATCTGTGATGATTGTATGGTTTTGCACTATATGTTTTTGTACTACCAATAAGCTATTCTGAATAAGTTGCCCCAAGCAGTTTTACCAGACAGGGGCAGGAACGTCATTTATACCACCATAACCATCAATAAGCTATTCTGAATAAGCTGCCCCAAACAGCAAGTCAGAATATTCTGATAATCTGCGGATTATCAGAATAATCTGTTTATCAGCAGATTATACCAATGTCAGTGGGAAGATATGACTAATGAGCAGAAAAGAATTAAGGATAGACTTATAATCAGGGCTGAAGCCCTAACGATTTCTCGAGGAACATCTGTAGGCAACCATCAACATTATGTACGTGAGACCCAACATAGGGTAAAAGGCTACGAACAAAACAATCAAGAGATTTTTTTTAGACCCAACACTCAGCCCAATTTGTGTGACTAACAAGTGAGCTTGCCAAAAGGTTACACTCAAAAGATTTTTTTTTCATGCATGTAAAGACTTTGGACTCCTCAGAATATCAGTTTCAAAGCAAAACATCCATTTCATTTCTTTTATTATTTATTTTACAAATTAGGCAATTCAAAAGTCAATCACACTGTCAGGCTAAAGTTACTAGCAACTCATGAGAGTAAGGGTAACTCTTTATCAAATGTTAGAAAATATTAATGTCAATTCTTGACCCTCCCATAGTCATCGAACCAGAATATACAATACTATCACACATACTTAGATGTCTTTCTCATCATCGTCCATAACCCCAAACCTTTCAACTTATAGTCTCGCTTGATGATTTATATAACACCACTCCACGTAGAAGAGAAGTTGTTCACCGACGCAAAATTTGATATTATTTGCTTTGTTTTTTATAAAATGACTTATATGACCATCCAATACTTCCACTGAGACCGGATTCATCTCGCAATGGTGCAACGAGAAGTTGGTATGAGAATAGATTTAGTTTGAAGATATGAATTAGATAAATCTAACACGAGGCTTAAACGAGGCAAAGTAATTTGCTACGTGCGTGTAAATGTAAGGGTGACAAGCCAAGGCGTTTGTTTGCATCTTCGAATAAATTTTTTACCATTGAATGTTCAAGTAAAATGTCGAGATAGTCCTCCAACTATTTACATGGGGTCATTTACCACACATAGCACACAAACCATTAATATCACATCAAAAATAGTAATATCATCGTTGTTGAAAGTGCAATACATCATACATCTTTTCATGCATATGGTCGAAGCACCAAGATGCTATTATACAAATATGAAAGTTTAGGCGATTTTTTTTTCTTTTTTTCGTAAATGTACAAGAATTGTATGCTACGTATTGTAAATGCATAAGAATCGTGTAGCAGATATGTAAATTTTATTAAATATGAATTGCATCCAACTCATATGCAATGTTTAGGCAGCATGAATATAAGAGAAAAGTTTTGGTATTAAATTTGTAAATTCATCGGGATTGAATGGTATGTATGTAACCGTTCAATTTTTAGTGTTATACATGTAACTAAATAAACATTAGCATGAATATAAGAGAAATGTTTTGGTATTAAATTTGTAAATTCATCGGGATTGAATGGTATGTATGTAACCGTTCAATTTTTAGTGTTATACATGTAACTAAATAAACATTGGATGGTGTGTATGTATGTAAATGTTCCATCAAAAAAAGAAACCAATATAGCCATCAAATTTGATTTGCAAAAAACGTACATTTTCAAGACTTCATATGGTTACTAGAATATATAGGAAGTTGTAAGAAGGAATAGGGTGACAAAAGCCTAGGTTGGCCACTATTGAACATATGACCATATAAGAATTCAGTGGTATGCATGTAAATATGAATATTTGGGTGTGAGATATGTAAATATATAAGATTTGTATGGCAGGTTTGTATATGTGAATGTTTAGGTGTTATGTATGTAAATACATTAAAATTGACTGACATGTATGTAAATCATTTAATTTGATTTTCAATCCATTAAAGATGCCCCATTGAAGAATATTATGAATCTTCGCCTTCACATTTCAATCAAAGTAAAATTTGAGCCCCTAGTTCTAGCTCTTGGCATACATGTAATATGATTTTTTCATGCAACTCTTGAATTTTTTATCAAATTACATCAAACCAAGTGAAATTAGAAGAATAAAACTCAATTATAAATTGCCATGATTTACATTACCTGAACAAAACCATCCTTTATAACTTTCCTGTTGGCCCATATTTCTTCCATGAGAAGGCAAGAAAACATCGCTTTTCTCACAAACTATGCACTCAATGGCAATGCTCCAACAGCTGGGCCAAGTAAAGCTGCAGAGACAGCCTCCACAACACCATAAATAGCACTGAAAAGTAAAGAACATGGCCAAATATTTATCATATATATAGGACAACAGAGAACTCCCACATTCAAGCTCCACATCTCGGTAGGAAGTGTCCAACATACATCCGTTGTACTCAAACCTCCAAGTGAAAGCTTCCTTATGCATTTTACGAGCCTTATCAGAATTCCAGCTTCTTGCATTTCAAAAAAAAAAAAAAAAATGAATTTCTAATCAAACTTTATATATAGCAAATGAAGATTATATAAATATGAAAGAAAAAATATTCTTCAGCACAGTAAATTGATTGTGGAAATAAAATGCTGCAATCGAAATTGTGCTAGCCTCTTTGACAACTAGCTATTGCTACTATCACTGCACGAGTTGCTGAAAAAGGTATATACTCAGTTAAAACTTTATATAAAAAGGCCAATACCTCTAAACAAAGAACTTATAATCATGTGCTTTGATCTATCAATCATGCAGCAAGCATAATAAGCATGTAGAAGCATGGCAAGCATCCTAGCATATTTTTTCACCTCTATCACATACACTCCCATATCTTCCTTATCCAGGAGCGTAATAAGCAAGCAGCAAGCTTAAATGCAGTAAAGAGACCAAAGATACAAGCCTGAAATAACCAAGTATACCTACTATAGCCATGGCCATTCCGGCGAACTAGGTGCATGTATCACCAACAAATAAGGCAACGCTACTGAAGTGGTCAACAGCTGAAGAACTAAGTAAATGGAAAACGCATGAACATGGGGTATGTGAATCACGCAATAACCTGTGCTATATAGCATAATTCCAACATAATGTTTGAAATATATAAACCATCCAACAAGCAAAACTCAGCAAAATGCAAATCTCTCGAACCTTGTGAAAAGGAATCCTGCTCAGCATAAGGGTGAGCAAACAACACACTCCATGATAGACCTCTTCTGCATGGCACATTCCAAAGAAAAATTCCCTTTTTCGGATGAGGAAAACCAAACCAAAAACCAAGCTGAAAAGGTCGAGCAACCAGGCAGAAAAGATTCTCAAAGAAATCACTTATGTAGTCAAACAAGTAACCAAACAAGAATATCAAGAAACCAGCAAGAATATCGAGAGATCAGCGAGGTATTGAGCGACCAAGCAAGGAATCCGAAGAAACAGGCAAGAAAATCAAGCAAACAAAAAAAGAAACGAGTGACCAAACCAAAATACCGACAAACTAAAAAAGAAAACGTGAAAGAAGTGCACTACGGGGGGTGGTCGGCAGTGGAGAAGCTTGCCGACGGCGTGGAAACGACGGCGAGAGAGACTCCGGCTGTAGGGATATCGGGCCGAGAGAGTTTCGCACGCAGAGGAAAGGGTTTTCGCGTATGGAGGTGTCTATCTTAAGCTACGTGCGTATCACCCCGATCCCACCTATTAAACTAATTAAAAATAATAGAAATATAATTTTAATTTGTATTCGCGACCTGGCCTGAGCCTAAATCCGAACGGCCTAAAATGTCTTTTCATTTTCTCCGCACTATTACGAGTTTGGGGTTTAGTCTCTGTATCGTCTTCCTCGGTGAAGCGCATCCTCCATTATTGGCGAAATCCTAGGCATTCTCCGGCATGCAAGCGAAGATGATCATGGCGTCCATTCGTTCGTTAAAATCACAGTATGCACCTAAACCATAGTAATGAAATACAAGTAACACATCATTAACACAACAATAGCACAATAATACCACATTAAATAACATAGCACACAAGTAACATATCAGTAATACATCAAAAATACAACAATATCACATCAATATTACACAAGTAACACAGCATGACTTTGAATCATTAGCACAGAAATAACTTTACCTCAATAACTGCATAAAACCAAATTTGGTGGACCCACAGATATCTCCATGACATAGTTTTGATGTGTTATTCTTATATTATTCGTGTATTATTCATGTATTATTTTCCTATGTTTTAACTGTGTTACTGGTGTGTTACTGGTGTGTTATTTCTGTGTTATTCATGTATTATTGATGTGATATGCTTCTGTTTAGGGTGATTGTTAATTAAGTGTGCTTCATATGTTATTTATGTGTTACTGTTGTGTAGTTAGTTATGTTTTTGTATTATTCATGCTTTTGTGTAGGGTTATTACTATGTTATTCTGGTGTGTTACTCATGTATTATTCTCGTCTTATTCATGTATTATTCTTGTGCTTCTGTTTAGGGTGATTGTTAATTTAGAATAACGCATCAATTTCCTGTGTTATTTTTGTGTTTGTTAATTAAGTGTATTAGATGTGTTATTTATGTGTTACTGATGTGTTACTGATGTAAAATTGATGTGTTATTTTTGTATTATTGATGTGTTACCGATGTGTTATTCACGTGATAACACAAATAACACCGGAGTAACTATGTTGAATTGTTATTATTATGTTATAGAGGTTTTATTAAGTTGTCACTGATGTATAAACAAGAGTAACACCTGATGATGAGTTTCATATCACATGAATAACACATCAATAACAAATAGTGCATCTCCATATGGTTCTAATAATGTGTTATTGTTTCTTTAATTTGCATGATCATGAGTGCAAGGACTTTCAACTGTAGATGTCGTCCATCTGCAGTGAGAGGTGCCTTGGATGCAATTTGAGATCTGCTTTCATAGAAGACTATTAATAATTTAAAGAAAATTAGGGTGTTCAATTTTTTTGACATGTCCCCATATCCCCAAGACAATGTCATGACTTTACATATTCTGAGATGTTGGGAAAATGAGAGGAGGGTCTTCAAAATGGGTGGAAAGGAGGTTAAATTACATGATGACCACGTGGCTTTGTTGATAGGGATGTCAAACAGATGAGAGCATGTTTCATGGAAGAAAGGATCTCTATCAAACGTGGATGTCAGACAAATAAAGAACCAACTGATAAACTTTTTTGCAGAAGGAGCTTCCACCCCTTCTTTTGAGCAGTTGTATTTGAAATTCATACTAGTTAATTTATTTTTTTTTCCTTCAAACAATATTCATGTGTCTACAGAGCTATCTTCTTTTACTGTAAATGTACAAGCTTTTCTGTCCTTTAATTGGCCTGATGTCATATGTGATATGATCATCGATCAAGTGAGAATCGCCTCCATGAAATTAAGGCAGAATAAGTCGATTGGCTATATTCAAGGATTTGTATTTCTTTTAACGTTAATTATTTGTTGTTTACATTAAAATATTTTTCTTCTGAATTTTTGTTTTGTTATATTAACTTTTGCATACATGTTGATGGTGTAAAACATCCTCAACTTTGGTTTTACGAGCACACCTCTCCGTTAACTCCTGCTGCACTTGACGGTAGACCTCACATTCTGAGGTGGCAAATCAATCATGGGTTGAGTGCTGAGAAGATTCATGAAGCCTTTAAGAGACTTGATCATGTAAATCATTTAATTTTTATTACAGCTTATTGGCACCTCTGTTTAATAGCTTTTTAAGAATGCTTACAATGATTTTGATGAATACATTTTTATTGTAGGTTAATGACGGATTCTTAGATTTGAGGGAAGATGTGAGGGAAGATGAAGTACAACTGAAGTACAACTGCTCGCAAATCCATAGCAGGGACCACCGAGTCCTGCAAGGCAACTTCCACAACACAAAACTACTGCAGGATCATCTTCACCCAAATCGTATGCCAAGGGTATGATTATTTATAGTGATATAACCTCAATACCTGGACATACGGCGAAGAGTGCTGATTTTGGGGTACTATTTGAGATGCTGAAATCCCAGGAACAAATAAGCTTAAATATACAAGATATAATGATTGATATGAGTAGACAGATGAATACTGTGGTAGAAGTATTGTCCACCCTTATAGGTTTGGTACACATATTATTTGAAACTAAAGCTGACAAGGTTGTTAAGAAAATAATATCTGATACAAGTCAAACTCAACTCCAAAGTAAGAAGGCGGCCAGCAGTGGACATTAGCAGAAGAGGACAGTGGACCCCCCTGTATCTTAATACCAGTTCAAGAGAAGACATAGAAAAAGTGATGATGTGGATATTGTTGCTCGTGTAAATACAAATGTTCCTGAAGAAACCATAACACATGCACAAGACACAGATTCTTTATTCTCAAGTACAACCTATGTGGATGTTATTGATCTTACAAATGATATTGTTCATCACGTTGATCCTGTACATACAGATGTTCCTGGACAGACCCAAGACGCCAAAGAAACAATAAGAGAAGCATAAGACACATATTTGAGTGATGAGACAATCCATGAAGACTCCGAAGAAGTAGAACGAGCAATAAAGGATGTTCTTGAATCTCTGTCCCATTCGGTTAGTACGTCATTCTAATTTGTACTATATGATATACATTCCTACTTTATTTTTTCTACTAACAATTTTTTTAGACGCGTCTTCTGACTTTCGCTGTAAATACTGATTCAAAAAAGGGTGATTCCCAAGAGGTCCAAGTTTCAGATGAAAATGTACATACTGAATTCAATTTAGATGAAAAAATCTTAGATCCAACTGGTTATCAGCAAATTTCGGGTCAAAGCCATAGTTTTAATGCAGACAAATATGTTATAGTTGTAAGAAAAAAAATATAGTTATGTACTTTGAAGCATATCTTATATGTTCTTATTTTATGTTATCCAAGGATTGTTTTCTTTTGCAGCTACGTCCTCCGGCTTTAACTATTGAGTATCCTGGTAGGTCATTGATACCAATTGAAATGCAGGAAAAAATAGACCAATGCATATATAGATACATTTGACGGTAAGTAAATGTCCACCGCTGTTTTAATATTATGCAGTTTTGCTGTATTTAATTAAAAGAAAGTCTCTTTCTTATCAATGCAGCAACGTTATAATTAACAAAGGTCATATTTTAATTTATCGATCGGCACTCAAAGACATACTATTAAATAAGTTGCTTGAGACGAACATGTTGATCTATTTGTTGTCATGTTGCGCGAAAGAACTTTAAAGAGACCAGAGTTGTACCAGTCTCAGTCTTACCTGTATGTTTTCTTACCTGTATGTTTCACCAATGTATGGGGTATGTTCAACAACTTATATTTATTCATACAAATTTAAGTCATATATTTCATGCACATTTAAAGTAATAATTTTATGCAGATGCATTAGACATATGGTAGTAAATCCTACGTGAAACATATCACCAACAAAGTCGTAAAAGATGTAAAAGCCATTTTCTTTCCAATCATTCATAATCAGCATTGGATTTTGTTGGTTCTAGATCTCAAGCTGAGAAAATGAAGAATATACATCTCACTACCTAACCAGATACATAAGGCTGGTGCTATAGAAGTTGTAAGTATATTCAACTCAATTAAAAGTAACACAATAGCATTCGAAGAATAACACAATACTGCTTCAACTATGCAGGTGAATATGTTTGCTAGAGATGTCGCTGATTTATTTACAGCCAAAATCCATATATGGACCCTATCGATTACAAAGCATGTACCATCACAAAGGAATATTTTTTATTGTGACATGTTCATCTGCAAGTACATGGAAACATTAGTGCAGACCGAAGCAGTCGACTGGAGTACACATATGAATTGGCAGGATGATATAGAACAATTTAGAGCTGAATTTGTAAATGACATCTGCATATTTTTTAGGACTTCTGAGTAAATTTGTATATTTTTAATTTGTATATTTGTGTAGGTTATTGTATATGGAATAACTTTATGGTTACTGTATATTGAATATTTATATATGTTACTGGCAAAATGTTCATATCTTCGTGAATGTTAGTATTTTTATGATTTTTTTTGTATTTTTAAACATGCTAAATATTACGTCAATAACAGGCTGAATAACAACCTGAGTAACACGTTTAATATGACCCTGAGTAACACGTAAATAACACTTGAGTAACACGCTGATCAACACCCTTAGTAACACGTCATTTACATGTTACACGCTGAGTAACACGAGAGTAACACGTAGATAACACGTGAGTAACATGTTGAATAACACCATGAGTAACACGTCAATAACAGGCTGAGTAACACGCCGAATAACATGAGAGTAACACGTAGATAACATGTAAGTAACACGTTGAATAGTTACTACACCGTGTTACTGTATATTGAATTGCTTCACATAGTCTAACAGGCCATATATGGGGCAAAATAATCATATCTTGGTGAATGTTGGTATTTTTATAATTTTATGTTTGTATTTTTAATAAATATAAAAAAAATTATTTATCCTAGTTAATTTATCCTATAAAATATACTTCACATAGTTTAAAAATTACATAGTTTAAAAATTTATAAATTTATTGCAAAAATTTAATCAGGTGAATAACACGACGAAAGGTAGAGTAACACTGATTT